AAATGAAGTGAGGAAGGGGTAAAAATGAAAAAAAAGGGACATATGACGGACATGGAAACGGGGTAATATTTCATAAATATATTCATTTTTTCTTTATTTAGCAAAAGGGATGTTTTCCTTTACATAGAGACCGCTATTTCCAGTTTTCAATGTTACTTCATTATAAAAATTAGGATGTATTCAACGAGTGTCAAGCCGTTGTATAATGGATTTTATAGAGGAACGATCGGTTGTTATATTTTACAACCCATTACCTTTATACGGTGTCATAGGTAGAGGTTTGTTTCTTTTCGACGTGAAAATATTTTTTAAAAATTTATTCATATAGTTAGGTGTGAGAATATTTTTACATCAATTGGTTTTAGTACATATTTTCACATCAATTGACAATTAATTAGTATGAATATGTTAGGTACGAGGGAATTTTTTCATGTAAAAATATTTACTATAAAATATTTTCACGCAAACCAAACATGCATATCAATCATTATTTGCTCTGTTGGGCAAGAGTAGTAGCACAGCTTGTTGAAAACATTGGGATAGGCTTGGTTAGGACAATAACTCCATGTTATGCCAATCCTAGCCTTAGGAGCCAAAATGCCAACTCGTACCCCGGATTGCGGGGCTGACATACCCATTTTAATGCCCATCCAAAAAAAGAGTCACATTCTATAGTTTTTGTCAGTTTTTTTTTGTTTCTCGTAGTTAAGTGTTAGGAAATTTTGAGTAAGTTTAGAGTCGATCTAAGAGCATGGCTAATCATCTCTTTTTTGCAAATTTGTTGAGTGAAGGAGGGTGGGTGTTTGTCTCCATGGCGGTGTGAATCTATCAAAGGATGAAGTTTTTATAAGGCCTAGGCTTTATGAAAACAAAATAAAATACCACCTCAAATCTTTATTCATAAAGTACTTTCGACAACATGAATTTCTATAATGGCTCTTAAATTTAATTTCTAATACCAACAAAAAATTTTGAAACTCAAACAATGGTACAAATCTTGTGGATTTGTGAATATTTATTTTTAAAGTAAAATAGATGGTCTAGATAATTTGTTACACTATACACTATTTTAGAGTTTGAAATCCTAATTTTTTTTCACAATCGTATTATTCAAGTCGAGATGATCGATGTAAATAGCTTTTCAATACTTGACTTGCAGTTTTAGATGAGTTATGAAGTGAAGATTTACTTATTTTAATATTTTAATAAAGCTGCACCCCTATCAAACCATACTCCTTTTATCGAATAAGCACGATTGGTTTGTGGGAAATATGATGACCAAGACATTGTCTCATGTTTGTTTCATGATAAAGTTTTCACCTTGAGTTGTTATACAATAATGATGTGACATTAAAAAACATATTTGTACCTTCGTAATCAGTGTTCCAATAATGGACTCGGACCATGTACTCGCCAATGCTCGGAGGCGCATTACTATGGTGTCCGAGTAGACTCGTATGAGTTAAGCCCACTTTAATGTAGGCCGGTGAAAAACCTGAAAAATGGGGAAAAACCTGAAAAATCAACATTAGTATTGCGTGTGATTTTTGTTTCAAAAAATATTTGTAATGGCCCAGAAAATTATTTTATATGAAAATTACTATTTTTCTCAAAAAAACAAAAAAAAATACAATGGAATTCAAGTGAAAAATCTCATTTTCCATCTATTAAACGAAAAAATCAATATGGGGTTATTGAAGAGGGTCGAATCACGATCGAATGGAACTAATTTTTAACAGTTTTAGGCAAAAAAATGGGGGACAAATCGATAGAATGGCGAATAGATTATGCTTGTTCTAAAAACGGTTTTCTCACTAGAACCGAGATTTTTCGAGCAATATCTCTTTATATCTAGCTTCTTACCCCCAACAAATGAGTATAAAGATATTTTAGAGGGTTGAATCAAGGACAAATTTTCAATAGAATTGAATAAAAATTGTGATAGAACTCAATGTTTAGGTTGATTGGTTCAAAATAACCAAATTTTCAACAAATTTTGATAAATAAATACCTATCACGAGTTTTGTTCTAATAAACCGAAGGTAGATTGATATGGATGGATAGCAAATTATATACCCCCAACAGTAAGAAAAATTGATCAATTATTTTTATCAAATTATGTGATATATATCGTGTATATCCAGGGTACCGGGTAACTCGAGTGCTTTTATTTACTAAGAAAAAATAAATAAAAATTAATATAAAGGTTTAAAGGATGGGGATTTATAGGACCTAAGAAAACACTAGAAAGACTTAAAAAAAGAAAGAAAAAAAAAGGAATTTTATTGGGGAATTAGAGACTAGCTCATACCATCTTGAAACTAATTAGGTCTCGACCGACTCCCTATTAATATCCCGATCAAAAAGTGCATGCTTTTAAAAGGCTCGTTTGGCTTATTTAAGAGAGTGAGAGTAGAGGTGGCAATGGGTCGGGTTGGGTCTGGCCCGACCCAAAAAAATCTTACGATACTTTGCCCAGATTTGGACTTGAACCAAATAATAAAAAAAGATATATATATATATATATAAATATTAAGTTAGTATACATACATTATGTAAATATTATAATTTTAAATATGCAGTTATATTTATTTTATTGTTGTTTAAAAATTATATATTAAATATTATTTCAATATTAACACAATTCGTGTCAGGTCCCCGGACCAGGACACAGACCCGAATAGTGGGAACCCAACTGCACCGGTACACTTTTTGGACCTATACCCGAACGTGGGTCCGGGTCCGGGTCCGGTCCGGGTCCATTTCCACCGTAAGGCGCTTGTTTTTATGAAATGGCGCTGCGCTGTGCTGTGCTTGGTCTCCAACACAAGAGAAGCGGCTACCGGTCGAAGCGTCCAACCCAGCCCAAGACGAGGTCAGAGCCGGTTAAAGCCATCAGCCATCCCGTACATCCGCCGGGTATTGCCAGTAGGGCCACAACCCAACGAACCGAATAGATACCCCCTTCGCACCTCCTGTAGCCTGTCCCAAAACCGCCAAACGCCGCACTCCGTGCAAAACCCACCTCCTGCAACCGGTGAAATCCCTCATCCGTACTCATTCCTCTTGGCTATAGCCAGTGACTTCGCGGGCCCCGCCAACAACAACAGGACGGCCACAGCGCAGCCGCGGCGGGGCAGCGCCAGGACAGCCTGGGAGTCAGGCTAGGTCTCGCCACGTAGGTTCCGATAACGGGTAAAGTTTAGTTCGGAACTCGGTACCCCCAATGGTTAGGTTCAATGAACCCGAGGCTCAAGGTTCGGATCCTTGCCTGGAGGCTACGGCCACAGCTGGAGCCAGGCTGTCAGCAACCCAGCCCCTTCCTTAACACCCTTTTTTTTTTTTTCCGCTCTTCTTCTTTGTCCTCTCTCTTCTCTGTAAATCTGTTTCTCTCTCCTCTTTCTTTTTCTCTAGGGTTTTCTCTCTGATCGCTCGCATTTCGCCTGGAGGGAGGTCCAGATCCGTTTCCGCCTCTTCGAGCGCTTTCATTTTAGCCCATTTTCTCTCACTTCTGTTGATTCTGGCGCCGCCCTGAAAAACCTTGATTTCTTGCCTCCTCTCGTCGTTTCAGAGGCCGGCGATCTTCGTCTCAGGCTGTAATGTCAGGCTATGGAGGCTTCCTGAACAGGTATTTATGTGTTTTTTGCGTTTTTTTTCCTGTATATTTGTTTGAGCTTTTGTACTTCCCTTTGATCGAATGAAAGTGAAAGGATAAATCTATGAATCCCTGGTAAGTTAGTGTTTTTGTGTTTGTCGATTCCGGTATTAGATGTTTGTAATGTATTTAAGGAAAGGTCTCTGTAATTTTCTGGAAATTGTGGTTCTGGATAGTAGACATGGCGGATTGTTGAGGCTTAAGTGTATTTGAAGTAATTCATCTGAAAATTTGGTCCTTTTTCGTGCAAATTATCGCTGCATTTTGTAAATATTTGCAATTCAAGCAAGTACACTTTTGTTACTTAGAAATGGTGGTTTTTTATTCTAAAAATTGTTGAATGCAGTAGGATTCATGTGTAGTGAAGAAATCATTGTTTTCTCTGAAAGAAAATACATCTGCAAGTTAATTGTGTGTGATTATACAAGTGTTTGAAACTTCATGGAGCTTTTTTAGTTTTGTACTTTGGTAACTGGTTCTTGATTGAAATTGTTCAAGTAAGGATGACTTTACTTGTGATTAGAATTCAAATTGTTTTTGTTGGGTCATGGTATTATTATTATTATTATTATTATTATTATTATTATTATTATTATTATTATTATTATTATTATTATTATTATTTTATTTTGAAGTTCATTTTGACATTGTTATGTTATATCTGAATCAGAACATGTCTGCTCTATCTCTTTATTGGTGATACATGGAGAATATGAACCAATTGCACCTGTTATGGTAAAATTCGTTGTAAACTTGAATGCTTGGTAGCGTTTAACTTTTAAGCTTAACCTCAGATGTTTATTGAAGACAATCATATATATTACAGCTCCATGAAAGTAATTGATTGTTTCGCAATTGTTGAGTGATTGTGTCAGATTTTACTCGCGTTGGAGATATTTATGTCTATTTTGTACAGGCAGGAAGAGTTCAAGTTCATGTTGAAAATTTGTGTAGCTTCATTGCTTTGGGTACTGTAAATGTTTTAAACATTAGAACTTTAGGCTTGTTTTGTCATGGAAATTTTTAATGAGTTCAAATTGTAAAATTCTTGGTACCTATGCTTCACTAAAAAAGTTATTGGACTCTTATTTTATTGGAGATTTGTGTTCCTACATACTGAACATGGTTGGTGTCTTTAAAGAAATCTGTCTTTGTTAAATAATTTGACCAATTTTACGGTCCTTGCCCCAGTTAGCTTCAGCCATTGGGGCAAGGGCAAGGTACCCTGAGTTGTGTGTACAACCTGGGTACATGAAAAGTTTCAAAAAATCCCAAAAAATTGTAAAAAATATGGGTTTGTTTTATAAATTTTTTATATTTAATTTGAAATTTTTTTTGGCAAATATTGGTGAGCTTTTTTTTGGCAACTTCCTATTTTTATATTTTGGATTTCATTTTGAAAATGTCCACAACTATAAATCAATTTTTTTAACTGCATTTTTCCTATACTCTTTTTTGGACTTATGTAGAGTTTAGAAGTTTTTTTGTTTTTATTTTTTTGAAAATGTCCCCCAACTATAAATCAATTTTTTTTAACTTCATTTTTCCAATACTTTTTTAGGCTTATTTAGAGTTTAGATGGTTTTTGGTTTTGTTCAACTTTTAGTAGCTTCATTTTATTTTATTTTCAAAACTTTCCATTTTTTTATTTATCTAGGGCTTTTGTGCCTGTACATGACTTTGCTGCGTCCACTCGGATTCGGCTGAGTAACTGGCCTTGGTCAGGGGCCGAGTTCCTAAACATTGATTTCAACCATAAATGAGGTAGGATATTGGTGATTTTACTTGTTCCAAGTTTGATTGTATTTTTTGAGGGGTGGTGGGGGGGGAATAAAGCGAAATTTTTTTTCTTTTTGAACATATAGGTGAAATAGTGTTTATTGATAAGGATTATGAGTCTCTTGGATGCCTTTACATTTTCCTTGGGATTTATAGATTTTTACGGGGAATGATTGGGACTCGAAGTTGTTTGGAAATCATTTAGGGCATGTTTGACACCAGTAGTTTGTGGGAGTGGGATGCCCACTCAACAAAATACGGAAGAAGTCTCTTCCATCTGTTTTGATGGAAAAGGCGGCTTCCAAAACGCTGCCTCTTTAATGTGAAAATTTTGCCCTATGGAAGGCTGCCCTTCCACTTTGCGGCTTCCCTGAGGGTGTTATGAAACATAGAAGTGAGACGTTCGTCATTAACTCCCATTTCCAAAAACTCCCACTTATCAAACATGCCCTTAATGGTTTCCTTTATGCCTGTTAATGTATCCAAAGCCATTATTATATTGTGCTTGTTTTGAAATTTCATTCATATTGGCCATGGAAAATGATCAGGACTGTTGAACTTTGCATCTTAGAAGGAGTAAGTGTTGTTTGACCAGAATTTTTTCTTTTTCACTTTTCTGGGTAAATTGGACATTGAGAATTTAAAGAACATTTCGGTGAGGCATAGTAAAGAAATCCGTTCTGAACGTTTTTTTGGTTTTTTGAAGATGAAATCGTTTCTGAACATACTCATGCTAGATAAGTTCTTTCTTAAAGAGTTCATTTTTCTTTCCCATTTCTTTCGATAAAGTTGTTTTTTAACCTTTGTGGGGGATTTTCATTCTTATTCTGTCATTTGATGATGTTTGGCTTATTGAGCACGTCTTCCATTATTCCAAGTGATCTATAAGCAAATCCTGTAGTTTTATTTATCATGCTTTTTGGGCTTGCGAAAGGAGGCCAGATGAGGGAGAGTAAGTAGGAACCATTGTGCTATGTCTGTCGCTTCTGTTTTATATACCTTCTTGTTTTCTAATATAGCAATCCGTTTTGTTTTTTTTTTTTGTTTTTTTTGTTTTTTTTTAAGTTTACAGTCTTCCACTAAATCGTTATCTTGTTTCTTCTAAGTGCGATGCTTTCCTGAACAAAACTTCCATATTGTATATTACTTAATATGTGCTTTAGAAGTTGATGGTCTGGACCAGTCTGATTTACGAGTCAATTTCTGCCTTAGGTCATTATTGTCAACCCCCTTCTGTACCTTCTGTTTGTGGGTGTAAACTAATGAAGTCGATTTATTGATGACCTATATTCAAATTTGTAGGGATAGAAGAACCAAAAGTGGCACATGGGAATAACGGCAACTTAAAGGACTACTATACGATATATGCCTATTTGGATGCTCTCACTAAATTGAATGGCAGTAACCTGGCTGCGAAAACTGTGCTCTTTTCGCTCATATGGACATTTACTGGTTTACAAGGCTGATCTCTGGATGTGTATATAGGGTTTCAATTCCTGAAACTTCCAGGGGACATGTGACCATTGCATGAGTAGAAGTGAGCATTTAATCTGATATCAGCAGGTTATACTTCTTTTGGAAGGTCTATGATCAATTCTATCCCCTGATCCAATTGGGGGCAACCAAAGATTTAAGTAACATATTTTGTTTTTGGAAAGAAAAGCAGAGAAAAACCCAGTAAAAGCTCCAGAGAGAGAAGCTTATTTGGGATTTTGAGGGGCAGAGAGAGAGAGACACACGTTATTGCACTCCTGCAAGAGAGGGACAGAGGGAGGGTTTGTAGGGGTTTATTGTGCATCCATGCTGGAAGAGAGCATGCGTGGAATCCGAGCTTCGGGTGATGCCCCTGACCAGCCAAGTCGCCGATGCTTTCGGTGCTGTTACCATCTCTCTAGTCATCCTCTTCATTCTTCTTGGCTTCTTTTGCATTCTCCGTTTATTACACTTCCATGCTCGTATAAGAAGGCGAAGCACACCTCAACTCTGCTATTTTAGCGGCCCTTGGTTTGTCCGTCTCTCTCTCATCCTTTTCTTTCTCTTGTGGTCGCTTGGAGAGGTACTTCGACTGAGCCTGCTAAGAAAGAGGAGCAAGTTTCTTTCTCTAAGCCTCAAATGGCAGGAAGATTTATGCAAGATCTACCTAATTTCAAACCTGGGTTTCTCGGAACCATGCCTGTTTCTCTCTCTAGTCCTCCTCCTCCACGCTTCTCTTCAAAGGCAAGACTCAGGAACATTAAGCCGGCAATGGAACCGAAAAACCATGGCTTACATCTTCCTCTTTTGCTTGCCTGCCTTTCTTTCTCAGCTGGTCGTAGTTTTAATTGGACCCAGGTTTAATACATCTTACAAAAATGAGGGAATATACTCAGAGAACATCCCCAAATACTTTACTTCTGCAATTTTCAGAGCTCCGTGGAATCAGGCTATGGTTCTTTGTGCCTACCCTTTATTGAGCACGATTCTGCTCGGCCTTTTTGCTTCTATCTTAGTTGGATACTTTCTCTATTTGGCTGCGAAGATGGTGACCTTGGTTATTAACAGGGGCCTACAGAAGAGGATCTATTATCTGATTTTCTCCCTCTTGGGTCTTCTTCCTCTCCGTATCCTGCTTCTTGGGTTCTCTGTTTTATCCCACCCAGGAGAGCTGGCCTTTGAAATTCTTGTTTTCTTAGCCTTCTTAGTGCTGCTAATTTGTGCCGGAGTTGGGGCCTCTATACTTGTCTATTGCCCTGTCTCCGATTCGTTGGCGGTGAGGGGTGCTCTCTCTCTAGACATGGGGGTGAGGAGTGCTCTCTCTCTTGAAATCAGTAGAGAGATGGAAGATGATAACACTTCCCTTATCGCGAGCCAGGCATTGATCGAGGCAAGCCCGAACAGAAACTCTGATGCTTCAACAAAGGGGGGTTCGATCTCTTTTAGAACAATGGTTAGAGATGCAGAGGGTTCATCACCTGGTTCTCCTCCACTGCCAGGAAGGCCGATGATGGTTGTTCCCTTGCAAGAATTTGTAGCATCGAGAGGTCAGAGGCTTCCGTACCCTTATTTGAGTGATGTTTGATACACGAATGTTCCATACTATATTTGCTCTCCATGCTTGTAATAGAAACAGTGGTTTGGGTTCTGGCTTCTTTCTCTCTGGGCCCTTTTTCTTTGAAATGAAGATGTTGCAGAGTAGTGTTTTGTAGGATTATATTAGTTTAGGGGGAAGTGGTTGATGCGGTGAGTCATGTAAAGAGGGTGTGAATTAATAATGTTTATGGTCTTTTAAGAAAGAGAAAACTTTGAAGAAGGAAAACTGGTATTCTCTATTTGGCTTTTCTTCTGTTGCACCTTGGCATGCTTTTGTGCATGTGATGTCACCCACCAAATCCAGGAGTGGCAATGGATTGGGTGGGCCAGCTCAGCCCGATCAGCCTGGCCTTAGAGACTAGGGAATCATCTGACAAGTGCCAGGCCAGGCTGCGGTCAAGACAGGGCAGGCACAGCCCAGTTTTGACCTTTATTTTATCTTTTTTGCCTTTATTTTATCTTTTTTGTTTTGTTTTTCTTCAAATTTACAACCGAGTCTTGCCATGAGAGGGCTGGCATGGGCCGGCACTTACGGGGATAGGGCTGGCTACTAGCACTATTAGGCTGTTGGGTGTATGTTTAAGGGAGAGAGATCGTGAAAAAGAACGAGCCTCATTTCCATTATTAAATCTTTGATTGACCCATATTTTCTTATTCTTTTTTTATCGGAAATGCCCTAACTTGGACCTCAAAGACTTAAAATTACAAAAAATTGTGACGTATGAGATGATTTTGGTTCTTGAATATTCAAAATAAATTTCTCAAGTGGATTATGAAGGAGAGATTGGACCTTTAAAGTCCGAAACGGGATGGCTGGATGTTTTGGTTTTGGACCATTTTGCTTTAGGCTATCGGGGCCTATAGAATAACATAAACCTTTGTTTGAACTTGAAAAAATCGGCTGCCCGCATGGCAGCGTGGACTCACCGCCCAGTGCAGGATGGTGACCCTAGGGGACCGACTAGTTACCCAAGTCATTGCATGGGGTTCTTTTGGCCAAAGCCGAAATTGCCCTGGTAAAGAAATATCATCTTCCCCCATTAAAAAGGGGGGAAATCCTTGCATGGGGAGAGCCGAAATTGCCCTAGTAAAGGAAAGAGGTCAAAAATATCATGTTCCCCTTTTAAAAAGGGGGGAAATAGTATTTGTGCCGGATTTTAGCCCTCCCAAAACTTTAGACAACTATTCCTTTGTCTCAAAAACAAATTTTTAGATCAAAATCAAAAAATTTGAAGGATTGAATTTATTTTTGAAGTTTTTGGTTTTTTGCAAAATTGAAAGGTATGCACCCTAGAATTTTACATCTGAAGATGTAAAATTTGTAACATATAATTGGTTATACTTGGCTTTGTTTCTAATTATGATTTAAATTTTAAATATAAAAGCCAATAACACCCGTCTCCCCTAGTGGCTGCCCTAGTCACCGGGCGGCCGCCCTGTCTTCTTGAACGTTAACATAATAAACCTTCCACTCGGGCGGATACAACTTCACATGTTGGATTCAGACCAAGTTAAGAGATGACATGGGTTATGGGTTATTGAAGGAGTACTTGGGAATTTTTGTTTCGGATCCCTAAGATCCAAAGTCATTCCATAATGTAAATGTGCTTTAGATTCCCATGATCCAAAATCATCACATAATGTATTATTGGATCATTAGTTTGTAATAAAAGGTTTTTTGGGGTACATGAGCCTAAGTCCTTGTTTCACAGACCCGGACAATAAAAATTTCGTTTCCAAAACAGGGTAAAATGCTCTCTCGCCCTAATTCTCTTTCTCAATCACCTTTCTCTCTACCGCACATTTACAAACACATGCCTCTTTCCCTCGCACACTCTTATATAAACATGTTTCTCTCTCTCAATGAACTACATCAAAAGTGCAAAATGACGTGTACATACATAATTCTATGCAGTCTAAGTTTACTTTTGATGGAAAAAGGGAATCCATATTTTATCATAGTTTCATGACTGGAATGGTTTGGGGTCAAGCGGACCTCGGCTGTCTAAAGCAAAACTAGATTTAGATGAAAATTGATTAAAATTAATAAGGGATGTCTATAAGAGATTATTTATTTTTTGTACATAGAGGTCACAATCATTTTTACTCATTAGATTGTTTAAATTTAAATGGTTTTGGGTGAGTCACGAAGTCTGAGAATTTTTTTTTTCAAACTTTGTGTCTATTCAATAACACTAACCCAATTAGAAATTTAAGGGACAAGAATGATTGTGACTTCCATGTACAAAAAATAAATAGTCTCTGTATAAATAATCCTAGTTAACATTTGATCAATCTATCCATCACACCAAACAATTTTGTCTGGTTAAACAAAGTTTGACAAACTCTTTATACCTTCTACATACTTAAATTATTATAATATTTTTTTCTATTTTTAAAATTTTAATCCAGCCAATTTCACCAGTGATCGGATTGGTCTTGGCTTGACCAAGGCCCTCGATATTTTGTAGCGCACTAGTAACTCTACTCTTGAAAGTCCCACATTTTGAAATCGGGATTGTCTACAAAGAGACCATTAATCTTTTGTACATAGAGGTCACAATCATATTTGTTCCTTACATTTTAAAATAGGTAGTTGTATGAGTTTCGTTTAATAGATACAAAGTACCAAAAAAAATTTTCAGATTTCGTGACTCAACTAAGCCATCCAATTTGACATCTAACAAGTGGAAATGATAGTGACCTCCATATACAAAAAGATAAATAGTCTCTTTGTAGACAATCCCATTAAAATCGGTAGGAGAGAGCGCTTATGCAATATGTCAATATGTTATGATGGCTCATTGAATGACATTGCAACATCAAGAGAGAGAGTGAAGTTACTTATCCATATAGACGGTTATGATGAGGCCAATCTTACATGCAGAATTACGAGAACATGCACACGCATATTTTGAGTGATTGAATCCACACTCCCACAATTGTAGTGATTGTCTTATGTGTGACCATGATATACACAATTATATTTTTTTGAGAGAAGTTCAGGAATATTATTATAAAATCAACAGAAATACAATAAAATTACATCATTAGAAATCACCAGTGCCACATGAGAAATGCCGTTCTTCACGAGAGAGTCAGCCACAACATTGGCTTCCCGATACACATGAATGAAGGACAATGAAATGGAACGTGAGAGATCCAGAATTTGAAGCAAGAATGATCTCAACTCCCACGGAACTTTCTTCTCCCTATCGCACCAATTGATAATATTCAAAGAGTCTCCTTCAAAAATACAATTGGTGCCAATAGTTTTAGCGCATAAAAGTTTAAGGCCTTGAAGAAGTGCAAAGAATTCCGCGTAATTTAATGTATTCTCACCCAGAGGACCCGCATAAGTGAACATAATTTTACCCTTCCAGTTTCTTACAAGACCTCCAAAACCTGCAAGCCCATGATTTCCTAAGGAGCTACCATCAAAATTCAGTTAAAAACCCCCCTTAAAGGCGGAGACCAAATATCTCTGATTAACCAACTTTATTTTCCTCAAACCGAACCCTCCTTCCTTCTTCGATGTGCAAACCCTATCCCATCGAAGAAGATGGTATTTTTTGGTATCACCCACAGAGCCCCAAAGAAAAATCTGCATAAGCAACTCAATCTTACGAGCTACCGATGCAGAAATCTGCAAAATAGACATCTGATAAATTAGAAGATTGAACAAACAAGCTGTAATCAAAATAATCCTTCCACCCAGAGAAAGATATTTAAATTTATATAAATCAAGCTTAGTTTGAATCCTTTGGATAACCCTCTCCCACACGGCCAAAGGCAACCGAGCATCTGAAATTGGCAATCCCAAGTACATAACAGGGAAGTGTTCACCTTAGACCCTAAAACTTCCGCCAAATTCTCCACCAGCAACTCCTCACAATTAATGCCAATTACCCTTGTTTTCTCTAAATTCACCTTCAACCCCAAAGCTACCGGACAACACTTTAAGAATATTGCTAGATTGGAAACGTGATCGTCCATCGCCTCACAAAAAAACAACATATAATATGCATATTGGAGGTGAGAGGTGCAAGGACCATTATTTGGCAACTGAAATGCCACAAAATGTCCTTTAGAAACAACATTGCGTACCAACAAGCTAAAGCACTCAGCATAAATTGTAAAAAAGAACGGGGAAAGGGGATCATCTTGCCGAATACCCCTAGAAGCTCTAAAAAGCCCGTAGGACTACTATTATACAAAATGGAAAAATGGGTCGAAGAAAGACACCCATAAATCCAATTCTTCTACCTTTCCCCGAAACCCATATTTTTAATAATCTCCAGGAGTACACTCCATTCCACTCTATCATATGATTTCTCCATATCCAATTTAATCACCAGTCCAAAAAGCCCATTTAAAACATACACTTTTGGGCAACCAATACACTATCAGTGATCAGTCTATCCTTGATAAAAGCTTACTGAGGTCCCGAATAATGAAGGGTAGCACAAACTTTAAGCGTTCCGCAAGCACTTTGGCAATGATCTTATATAGACTTGTCAAAAGACTAATAGGTCTGATATCACAGAAACTAGCAATAACAAACTTCTTAGGAATAAGTGCTATAAAAGTGGAGTTAACACCTTTGAATAATTCACCTCTCCTAAAGAAGTCTCTAACCATCTCCAGAAGCTCTCTATTCACTAGATCCCAAAAGATACGGAAAAAGATCAAAGGAAACCAATCTGACCCATGAACTTTATCACTAGGAAAAGAAAACACCGTTTTTTTGAGTTCTTCCATAGAAATATCATCTTCTAAAAATGATGCCGAATGAGAAGGGAGGACATTGAAACCCACTCTTTCAAGCCGTGGGGTGATCTTGACCACTGAGGAAAATGCTTTATGGTAATGATTAACGATCGCACTGGACATCCCCTCTCTATCATCCGGATCCACACCCTGGATCACCAAGCCATAAACATCATTTTGACGAGAACGAGCATTAGCCATAGCATGGAAAAATTTCGTGTTCAATTCCCATTATTTTAGCCACTTAACTCGGGAGCATTGTTTCCAATAAACTTCTTCCACCCTCCTCAAGTCCGCTAATTCCTTAGTACAACCGGCTCTTTTTGCCAGTAACCCCTCCGATAACACACCTATGTTCTCTACCTCCGCATCAACCATTTCAAGTTTGGTAAGAACTTCCTCAATCTTACCTCTGATATGAACACAATTAGTTTTTTTTTCTAGTCCAA